AGCGCTCCTCCAAGGAACGCTACAAAGCACGATCCTGAGCCACCTGCATCCATCGACTTCCTGCATGTCTTACCAAGTTCTCACTCCATCTAGTAATGCCGCCCTATGCTGCGCTTATAGGTATGCTTTCCGATAATATTTATTACATTTCGTAAAGGAGCCATGCGAGCATATTTTTCGTTTAATGTTTCTGATCGAACCACTATAACATGGCAGTACCTTACTATTATAGTATATTTTATACGTGGTAGAACCATGCTGCAGCTATATTAGTAGTATAGTTGTCGCACGAATGGGTCGGCTCGACCGGGGAAGGACCACGCTCTCACAATACCAGCATAAAATAGCAGCTTAACACTGGTGTGTTTCGTATGGTGAGCCTAGAGAACCGGAGACCCTTTTTACTGGAAAAGAGGCATTCCATCTTAGTCTTCACGGATGACAACGCATCTGCATTTTCATTCGCAAACGAGGATAAATGTAGATGTCTATGGGCCACAGCAACCTCTTACCATCAGGTGGACTGTGTGCTCGTTTGTCACCCTATCCTATATAAAAAAAACTTCTATATAGAAAATTAATTAATGCTTAACAGAAGGTGGAATCGCATTTGTACGTTGGCCTATTAATGATAATTTAGAATTTTGCAGATAGGAAACACTTTCCATGCTCTTTAATTTTTTAACCCCTAGCCTAGCCTTACTTTTTGAAGTTGGTTACTAGCGTCTATAAGCATATACACAGTAGCCACATACCATCATGAAAACTGTTCGCTTCTTATACATTTTATGGCACAAGGAAATGTGCAGCAGACCGATAAAGGAACCGCTAATTTGATGTAAAATAATTTTTAGATTATATCTCCGTCATCTGTCGGTTACCATAAGAGTAAACAACGATAAAGAACAATTGTACAACAAGGGATGAAATGCGAAATGGTCTTCTCCATTAAACACAGCCTATTAAAGTTCACTGCTGAACATAGGCCTCCCCCATAGATTGCCTCATAGGGGCAATTTATATATATATATATATATATATATATTTGCTATAGTTGCCAAGCTTGGCAAGCGGGTTAGCAACCGCAGTTTTTTTTTTATTCGTATTTAGGAAGACGCTGCTGTCCATCCCTGATTTGTTCTCCTCTGTCACATCTTAAGACACTCACGGGGTGACATAGGTTAGTGGATATTCTTACACGGCCACTAAAGAATATGAAATGAAACCAAAGATTTTCATATTTTCGTTTAATCATAATTTTCAACATGGTTAATTTTTATTTTGTACCTTAGAAGAAAATTATATTTTGCGGGTCTCACTTAAAGATTTTTATTTACATATTTTACAATTTAAATATACCTTATATAAATCTACGCATGTAACATGCTTAATTTCGAATGTACATTGTACATAGTAAAGTTTAAAATTATCTAACAACCCCTGGACTACTTTAAATTATGAAAAAATTATTGCGTTTTCTCTCGTCTATATACAGTTTTGAGAAATATCCCTCTGCTTTTATACTATGAATAAAGTATTATTAAAAATGTTTTAATGGCTGTGACTTGGTTTTACTCAGTACTAAAAAGGCGTTTTAGAGCATAGTATTAAATGTAAAAGTTTACAAAAGTAGGTCGGCGAAAATATGCAATAATTGGGCGATTTTGAAATTCAAATATGATTTGACCTCAAAAATTATTTAAACGATATTTGGTCGACTTTATAAAGATTATTAAAATATTGGTCCTATTAAGAAATTACCACGTCTAACGTAACAAGTTTTATAAACATTACAAAATAATAACCAACGAGAACATGTAAAATCTACATAATAAATTATGTTCATCCATTTTTTATAATTTGAATATAACTGGATGGTAATTTTTGAAAGTAGATAGGACTGTGTTCACGGGAAAATCTGTGATGTAATCTCAGTTTGTAGATATATTTATCTATTCCACTTTAAGCGAGAAGAGACTTTACTACGGCTCAAATTAATTTATTTAATTTTCTTGTGGTAATTCAATATAATTTCAAAAATTATTTTGTTTACTGAATAAAAAATAAAAGTATTTAGTAATTTTATACAACGTTATGTTTCTACAGCGAAAATATTTTAAAAAGTGAGATAATTTTTTGTGTGAGCTGACTTTTGATAACGGAGTAATATATTGATATATTAGTAATATATTAATAAAACAATGCATATAATATATGATTTTCATTAGCACTAATAATATTAAATATATAATATCTAGTACACATATAAACTGATTTTGAATAAATTCCTTCCAGCTTGTTCACAGGTTAAATTTTTCAGGATTGACATTTGTAACGGATATTTTTGTGTCACTTAGGAACTATCTTAAGCATAATAGCCATAGGCTTATGAATTGTGAAAAATCACGAATACGAGTGTCAGGGCAAATTGCTACGAGCATTCTTCTTAACACTGTGTGAAAAATAACTCGGCATTTGTTTTCTTTTTCACGATTCGTTTTGGCGCATTTTACTATACATATATTTAGTGGTCTTAAAAGAACTGTTGTTGAATTGTTACGGTGGATGTTTTTGTGAACAGGCCACTTTGGGGTTATTAACATAATTGGACAATATGAGCTATATATTCCAGCCCCGTTATTCATAAATTGAATAGAAAATTGGCTATATGCAGTATGTTTAATAAAACTTAACTTTGGATTTTAACAATTAATATCCATATTAATATATTCTAAGGAACAACTGGGATGCGGGAAGTAAAGACTGTATAAGAACCTTCGAAGGAGGTGGAGTTGTAGCCGAGATAAGAATTTTAAATTTTGTAGTGTTTGGCCATTTTGCCCCCCTAGGAGTGTAATGAGAACTTTTTGCCTCTATTCTACCATGACCCCATGACATCCTCTACATGATAGGCTATTCAAACCGACTAGGCCTAAAGTTAGTCTTTACTTCCAATAAATTCAAAACCTAAATCCAAATAAAATCCGGTCCAGCTGGAATGAAAAAGCGAAACAGTGAGTGCTGACGATGGCGTATGAATGTGATTATTGATAAGCTATGGCCAAAAAGCCTTTGCGTAATCTACATTTGAATATTGTCATTAAGAATGTTACATTTTAAACTCTATAACTACAGTAACTATTATTTATAAAACAAATTTATAACGCGATTTGTGCGAGCCAACATATATTTTTTATTATTATTAATTACTTATTAAACTTTTAATAATATTCAAGAACATTTAAAGAGGTAACATAATTATGATATTTAAGATCATCATCATCATCATTATTTTTTATTGTTGCATTAGTTAAAATTCGTTAATCTATATTGTGGTCACTGCATGTAAGGAATAAGAAAAAAATTATCGGTGTATATTATTGAAGATCGCAGTGTTTAGGCTTACTAACAATTACGACCTTACTCATAAAAATGTGCCGTTTTAATAGATGCTCGAAGTAGCTCTCTCTCATTTCGCTTAATAACAGTAGAAAGAAACAGGTATAGAGAAATATATAATATTACAATTAAAAGTAAGCGACTATCAACGATTATGAGTAAGGTCGTTAGTTAACATGTTACTTCTTCAAATGCCTATGTCTAAACGATACCTCATATGTTTGAATATGATTTCTAATCTGTACTAACTCATATTATATATCAAAGCTTAGCGTGGTTGAGCATTGCTAGAATGTGATTTGTTAAACTGTTGCACTATATTACGTGTATTGAAATCGATACGCTAATAGTCCGCTTGTATTATCGAAACTCGATTATTACTAAAAGTAAACTAAAGTTCCAGCCAGTATACCGCTGGGCACAGCCCTCCTCTCATTTGTGAGAGAGTTATTTTCTAGTATTCGATATAAATTCAATTTCACTAAGATCAACATTTTAGGTTATAATATGTCTATTTGAATACATATTCTCTATTTGTTTAATAAGATAAATAATAATATATTCCGTTATTTTATTAATACCTTATACATGCCTACTATTTTCTTCTCTTCGAGGTTGATCGGCGGAGAATGTCATATGACAATTAATAATTGAGAATATTTTAATTGTTAGGGTGAATGTTATAACAGTATATAGAAACTGCTTAAAACTTTTAGATACATAAATTGTGTCTGATATAAATGCTTCTAGATTGTCCGTTTTTAACATCAACATAGTTATTGCACACAGTGTAAGTGAATTAAATTCATTTCGAAATAAATTTGCAAAAAAGAAACTGTTACCAACTGTTCAATTTAAAAGACAATGTAAATGATCAAGAATGTATATGTAATAATAACCCTAGGTTTAGAGTTAAATATAACTCGTAGAATTATTATCCAACTGCCACTGTTTTCATTAGTTATAATTTTCACTAAAACTTTGACTAACGCATTTGCAAGTAAACGCTCTAGTAAAACGAACAATAGCTTAGCTATATCTATCTAGCGAATAACTAAATCGCCATATTGAAATAACATCACAATCTATAAATATTTAACAATATTTACACAAATCAATCAACAAATATTATTTATATATAGATTGTTTAAATATTGAATTTAAATACGAGCTGATTTTAAAAGGAATAACGTTACTAATTAAGCATTAAGCTGGAAAGAAATCAAACGATATATATATATATATATATATATATATATATATATATATATATATAGCGTGTTTTAAAATATACACTGTAAGAAGTTAAACATAATTTTTTATTAAATAATTTTCTTGGATTTATTTAGTTTATTAATTTCGATGAAACGTTAAAAAACAAAGTTCCTATTACGAGTAAGCTACGAGTACATACACATTAACATCTGTATACGAGTTTCATTTGAATTCACTATACTAGACATTTTATTTATATCACGTATTCGCAATCTTATGTGAACACAATATTCGATTTTAAAACTTCGTCACTCAATAAATTTAAAGCTAATCTCATCGTTTCAACTACTGCTGGGAGCCTCATCTATAGGCTCTTTACTCGTGGATCAGCTGGGTTGTTCGTCACTTTCTCGGTGAACTAAGACTCGGACTACTGTAGGTGGCGCTGCAGGAGGAGGGGCCGCGTCTGGAGAAGCTTCAGTGACAAGAATGCTGACTGAACTATTGGCGTGTGGAGAAGGCGTACGCGCACGGACAGGGGTCGTCGCTCTCCGTGCCGAACTCCGTCGCGACATCAAGCGAAGTGAGCCTAAAACATCGCATATATTAACAACTTACATTTTTCGGTTAGAACCGCTTAAATTTTAAACGGTTTCAAAAGTTTGCATAATTTATAAGCAACAACAATAAGAGCAAATTAAAATAATAATTATAATAATAATATACATTCCATAATAATATTTATTTAAAAAATCCAACTTTTTAATCGTTTCATCGTGATAATATAAAGGTTCTGAATTTACCGTTCCCACAGCGAGCGGTCTAGAGTTCTGCGTTCAGAGTTCTGCATTCAACGTGCACTATCGCTTTTTTACGGTCGCATCCTGACTGCTTTTGTGTATGTAAAGGTCCAAGCCATTACGTACATTAAAATGAACGTGAAATGTAGAACTTTAAAATTAGCAGTCTAGACTTCTCGCTGTAAGACCGACGATTTAGCTGTGAAACGAGTTCGCCTTTCTAGAGCGTTTGCACAATGGAAAATTAATGAAGTGAATTGAGTAAGAATGAATTAGGTTGGTGGATTGGTGATCGTCAGTACGAAATAGCCTTGCGTAAAACCTTAAGAGTTTATTTTTGTCGCCGTTCAAATTTTATTTTTAGATTTTACAGTTTTATAATGGTTATACCGATATATGTCGAAAGCAGTAATATTTCCATCAGATGGCGTTTACGACACTAATGAAACAAGGTACGAGTAGGATAGTGGACGATGTTTCGCCAAGTACTCACGGTACACAATTTGAATGATATTATTCCATTTGTTCTTTCACAATAAGTTAGCATCATGCTCCCGAAAAGGTTTTCATAGCTTTTCACCATTATTGCGAAAGTGCGAATTAAATAACAAAATACATACTTACATTTAAAATGAAATTAAAATATAAAATCTAATATTGAATTATAGTAGTAAACTTCACAGCAAGTAAGCAACCCGGGTCCGATCCCGTCTTACATGAATGAAATTATTAGTTGCTGATTTACCATGGGCACGGCGGAGAAGGAAATCATCGCTAGGAAACTAGCATGTCTGAGAAATTAAAAAAAATATTAATATTTCGAAGACATTTGAAGTCTGACGGACTTCCGTCAACACGCATTGAAGCAGAGCGGCGGACGATACCTTGAACCCAAAACTCTTTCAGAAATGAGTGGAGGCCTGTGCCCAGGAGTGAGACCTAATGCTGTAAATACATAATTTTAACAATAATAAAATATAAAATTTAATGTTGAGGAAAAGATAAAATCAAAGATAAAATCAAAGATAAGAATAGATAAGAAGCAGTCAGAAAAAGTAGGTACAGAGAGAAAAAAAATAACGAGGGCCACTCACTAAGGAATTGAGCTGGCTGTTGACGGTCGTCCTTTACTCTGCTCTCAATTTGCTTTTCTGGGATGTGGTAGATTAGATCACAGTCAGAAATAGTCACTTACCAAAAAGCATCAAAACCTAATAGAACATCTACTTAAATCATAATATAGGTTCAATAATAATACATTTGTTTACACTGCTCTTTTATCATGCCAGTTTAAAATCTAAGGATATTATCAACAAACAACAAATGGAAAAGTCTATAACATTCATGCAAAGCACTAAACATAGAAACCTGGAAAGTAACAAAATATTATGTTAAACTTCACTGTTAGCGGTTTTCTACCAATAATATAAATTCATTCGATCAACGAATACAAAGAGAACCGTATTTTCGTTTCCTTGGCAGATCAAATGAATTTATTCATGAAAAGGTTTACATTAAGTAGGCTTAAAGAAAATATAATCTTAGATGATGAACTCTGTTTGTCTGCTGTGCTGTATTTTTATTATTAAATAATGTTTGAATAAAGATGCAATACTTAGAAATGACCTTCAAAGCATAAAACTGTTTAAATCCAATTTTTGTGACATTGTCATCATCTGTGTTTTGTTGCTTATTAAGCGGAGAGAATGATGATTGGAGAAAACACTTTTAAAAGACATAACATAACTTGGTTAAAACATATACAGCAGCATTAATTTCTCTGTAATTTATTTACAATATGTCTATGTATGAAACATAATATTATATCTATGAAATGTAAAATTTCTATGAAGATGTCTATTTCAAATAAATCATAAAATGGTAATACCTACTTAATGTAACTTATTGCAAAGCTTCTGCACGCGTACGTACACATCTAACTACATTAGGAAAAGACACGGAAAGCAAAACATTACATATGAACCTGCACGTTTCGGACCGATATCTTCGTCAACAGCGTCCTGATGGCGTAGAAATAGAGGCAAACCGTAAGCAGATCTTCGCCGCGGGGGTGCCGTCTCCGATCCACATGGCTGAAATGAAAAATTCTAAAAGTATCTACAAAATGTCTGTTCTTTGTACACTGTTCTAATGTGGTAGAGCCATGCTGCATATTAATTGTATAGTTGTAGCACGAATGGGTCGGCTCGACCGGGGAAGGACCATACTCTCAAAGAATACCAACGTAAAATAGCAGCTTAATGCTGCTGTGTTTCGTATGGTGAATGTAGAGAACCGGAGACCCTTTTTACTGGAAAAGAGGCATTTCATCTTAGTCCACACGGGTGACAAAGCATCTGCAGTTTGATTCGCAAACGAGGATAGATGTAGATGTCTATGGGCCACAGCAACCACTTACCATCAGGTGGACTGTGTGCTCGTTTGTCACTCTTATCACATAAAAGAAAGAAAAAACATAAGACATACACGAAAGAACGAACATATTCGAAAGATATAATGAATGATTCGATATTTCAAGCACTGCTTAACTGTACAACTGTTAACTGTACTGTGTTTTTTCTTTCTTTTATGTGATAAGAGTGACAAACGAGCACACAGTTCACCTGATGGTAAGTGGTTGCTGTGGCCCATAGACATCTACATCTATCTTCGATTACGAATCAAAATGCAGATGCGTTCTCACCCGTGAGGACTAAGATAGAATGCCTCGTTACCAGTAAAAAGGGTCTCCGGTTCTCTACACTCACCATACCAAACACAGCAGCGTTAAGCTGCTATTTTACTCTGGTATTCTGTGAGAGAATGCTCTTTCCCCGGTCGAGCCGACCCATTCGTGCTACAACCATAATATAGCTGCAGCATGCACTACGTTTAAATGTGATGTTTAAGCGAGATAAAACAACATGACTTAAGTACTTTTGTAAACATAATAGGCTAATGCTTGGCCACAAACCTATCTAATGGCTTACCATGGTAATGCTGCCAAATATGACAAAGAGCACTGACTTAGCTTAACAAAGGCCTATTTACTTTTGCTTTTAAGACACCTTCATTGTAATCGGGTGGAAAGATTTTTTCGAAAGACAAAACAAACCATTGGGTTCAAATTCGTGGTATGTCGACAACAAAAGAATACATATTGGCCAGGTGTCTGGTTATCCAATAGTGGAAGGGAGAGGGAGGAATTTTGTTGTGTAATTCCTTCGCACACTCTCTGTAATATATCCACGAACGAAAAGGCTGGTTACTTTACGCCTTTGCGATGTAGTTTGAGATCATCAATAAGACTAAGAATGCATTTCTATTGAGTCCAAAGCCGATAGTTAGCATTATGCAGCATCGGCCCGTACAAGACAGCAAAACTCCATGCCGGCGAGAAATACCACCGCTACTTTACAAGACACCTAACCTCCTTGCATCAGCCTTGATCCTGGACTTAATGAACCGATTAATATTAAGGTTCGCTAAATTCTCAAACCCAATAACTGAAGGCGCTCACAGTATTCCAGTGGTTCCTATTTTCGGTGAAGAAAAGCTCTTGTGATTTGAAGGTGTATTTCACAAGATTCAACTGGCGTGAGAGATTCACATGATTAACCGTAACGGTTTTCTTTCAGATTTTAATAATTTGTGAATTCAGTCATTTGTTCAAGAGTTGTTTTCGCATATGGTATAATGTATAACATAATTTTATTTCACAGTGGTTACCTGTTCACCAGGGGCAGCGCCTGGCAATAAAAGAAGGGGCAGGTTAAGCCAAGCTCCTCCCAACTCGCTCAAATCTGAAGCATCAGAGGCTCTAGAAGATTTTCTACTGGAAGCATGTGACCCTCTTCGAACGTGCAGCAAGGCGCTTAATCGACCGCCCCAGCCACCTCCAGGTGACCACTTAGTGCTCTCCTCCTCGATTGACGGACTTCGATTCTTACGCCTAAAATATTGATAATTTGCAATGTTCGTTAAATTCTTGTTCTCATAATATTAAAAAAATATTTATATATTTTAAAACACATAATTTTACTGAAGATCTTACAAAAGTAGAATAGAATAGAATTTATATTTATTTTCTCATCACAAACAGGTACATAATAATTGATGACAAACATGTTGAACTATAAACTTTAAACGTTTTCTACCCTAGTGTGTAAGAGACTGGTGCCTAATAAAGGTATTTAACAATACCTGTTCTATAGGTCACCAGGTCCCACCTCTCGGATTGTGCATCTTTAAATCACACGTTTGTAAAACATATTAAATAGATCATTACTTTGTTCGAATAAGTTATCAGAAAATCGATAATAAGTAAAAAAAGGATTAATACGAGTATAACAAAGCCAATTTATGTAATGATGTAGATACATATTCTGGATTAAAGTGTATACATAATATACACTCTTAGAGATATATTATTGTGTGATATTATAGTTGAGGATGTAAAAACTTTCAGTTGATTCATAAGTTAATAATTTGTGCCAGTTTATTGTACTTTTTTACATTTGTGTTTAGGTAGGGGATGGATAATAGTCTGTTTATTTTGTTACAGATATAATTACAAAGATAGATGTAGTGTCTCCTGGCTAAGCTGGATTTAACCGTTGTAGAAGGACAGACTTTGTCCTTTCTCCTTTTAGTAATGTTGAGATTGCGATCGTCACTCAATTTAAAATGCTTTGTGATTATTACTTTTAGTATAAATATCTGCCTTACGATGAGGAAATCCCATAACCTGTACAACTCCGTAGCAGCATGTCTATAAGGGAGACTAGCTGCAGTTTTAAGAGTTAGTCGTTGAGCTTTCACAGCTTCAACCAGGTAAGTTTCAGCTGCACCACCCCACACTGTGATGCAATAGCTGATGATATATTGACTAAGAGCATAATAAATAGGTTTAATAATCGAACGATCAGCTATGTGTCGCAGGGATTTAAAAATATAAATAAGTTTTCTCATTTTAGAGAAAATATTCATCAATTGGTTAAATCAATTTAATTTGTTACACGTAAAATAAAATTATTTATTATCAGGTATAAACGATAAATAAGGCAAAAGTTATATCTTACTTTACATATTCTCTCCATGTCCGTTGTATTGTTCTCGCTGCTTTGTCTTCTCTTTTCCATATCCTAGTGGAAGACACTATCTCTAACTCTTTTCGCGTTGGAAATTGTTTCTTAAACTTTATATCCATTTGTTCTTGCAATTGTCTAAACGTTTCTGTTTCTTCTACATGTCCTAATACATGTTTAACTAACGCATGAAGGATATCTAGACAATGGATCTTGTTACCCCTCGCAATAGGAAGATTAAAACTAACTAATGCCACCGTATTTGGCTTGGATATACCTAAAGGAGGATCTAGAGACGCTATAAAATCTGACAGTTGAGCAAAACTTATAAATTGCGTTGCATGTGGATCATATCTAGAAGGCAAAAAAAAAGGATGTTAACAAGTTAACAAGAAAAAAAAACAAGAAATAGAAAAAAAATGTATAAAATTAACTTACTTAGACCATCTAATGTAAAACATTTCAAGATCGTCTTCTACAATACCGATTTCTTCTTCTTGATGTGCTTGATTGAAATTCTCAAGGATGATGGCGATGTACATGTTTATCACAATCATGTAACTTATGATGATGAATGATGTGAAATAGGTTATAGCTAAAAGTGGGCTTCCGCAGTTTCCATTGCTGTGGCCTATATCTCCTAATTCACAGTCAGGAGGTTGAATCATTAGTGATTCAAGTACATCATTCCAACCAGCTGAAGTCATAAGGCTAAAAAAAGGAAAATATTTAATCTCAATTATTCGTAATATGATACTAAGATGTAATATAAGACGGTTTCTTACCGAAAAAGTAACTGCATACTTCTACCAAAGGTTTGAAAGTTGACGATATCGTCCAAAGCACCTTGTTCTTTGACGTGACCGAAGACTGACATACCGATAATTGCATATATGAAAGTTATTAATGCAAGCAAGGCACCTATATTAAAAAGAGCTGGGAGAGATACTACTAATGCAAATAGAAGTTTCCTAATACCCTTAGCGGCCTGAAATTATTTAAAAAATATATATAATAGACTAGTAATATAAGAGCTTATTTTAATTGGATTAAAAGATTTTCATATACAAGAGTATTACAGACTTCATTGTTCAGAGATTAACATAGTCAAAATAATTTGAATCAAAACTTACTTTAATCAGTCTTAAAATTCTCCCAATTCGAAAAACACGAACTACCCTCAGTAATGTGGGAGATATAGGGAGGTCGATCATTATGTCCTCCATAAGAATGCCTAAAATAGAAGCTAAAACAAGAAGAAAATCGAAAACATTCCACGGTACTGTGAAATAATGGTATCGCAGACCGACGATTTTAACTATTGCCTCTGAAATAAAACAAAAAATGTAAAAGATTTTGATCTAAAGGAACGGTTTTGCATTAACCAGCAATAGTCAAAACTATTTCCTATGTTTCAGGAGCAAATCAAAGGTAATTAAAAATTAAATACGTTAATAACATTATATCTTTGGCTGAAAAAGCTTTTCATTACAAATTCAAATACAACATTAAAACTACGCTTTTAAATATTCCTATTTTACCGCGTTTTTATTAACTCGCTTTCGAGTATGGTACTGTTCAGACCGAATTTTGTAAGTTCCCGTTGAACTACAGACTTGAAATTTTGAACATAGCTCTGAATCGAATGAAATTATATGAATATGATAAAACGTGATATAAAAATGTAATACCTAATTTTTTTTAAAATTAACTTGGATCAGATAAGACTAGATATTAAAATAATTGAAACCGTAGTAGCAATAAAAATATTTTTTGTTTGTTGTGTTAATATTAAAAAAAACTTGGGTTTTGTGTTCTGTCTTTTAATGACTGATACTTTAAAGATTCTCAATCTTTTAAAACCTTTTAATTAGAAATAAATGAAATTTGCTGAATCTATAAAATAATTTCCGAAAAGCATATGTATTCTTATTACTAAAGAGTTTTATAACTTACCTAAACCAAAAACTGTCGTAAAAAATGCGTTACTAACTTCTAAAACAAAGAAAACCGAATGTGGTTGGTCATAATGTTCTATCCCCATTGTAAGCATATTAAGAAATATGAGAACAAATATTGCTATTTCAAATCGGCGGGAGTTTGATAGATCATAGAACATAGCAAGGAACTGGTTTCTCGGCCGTTTTATTACTTTTTGTGGTTTTTTTCTTCCTAACTTCTTCATAGCAGTATAGTAATGTTTTTGGCTTTCCGTAAGGAACATCTCCAAAACACCCCCTTCATACTGAAAGCAAATTAACGTGAATTATTTCATTAAATCTTTTTTCTTCTTTACCACAAATAATAACATGTATTTAATTAAACACTTGTAATTACCTTTTTCTTGAGCATATTAAAATTGTCAATTATGACTCCTATGAATAAGTTTAAAGTAAAGAATGAGCCACATACAATGAAAATAACAAAATATATATATGCATAAAGATTGGCTTCTCTAGCTGGTTGCAAATCAACTCCTCTTGCGTCCACAGCATCTGCCATTACTTCCATCCAACCTTCGAATGTTGCTACTTGAAAAAGAGCTAAGTACGCTATCCCTACATGATCAAAAGATATCTTGGAATTGACCCAAGAAAAGTTATTATAATAACACTCCCATTTGTCGTTCACTACCTGTAAATTAGTTTAAAAATTAGGGCAATGACACCAATAAAAAATATTTTTAATTCATTTTTTTTACCTCCAATGGCAATAATTCTCCTTCGTCATCGACGCACTTAAAAAACTTCCCACCAAAAAACTGAACACCCATTATCGAGAAAATTAACCAAAATACTAGACACACGAGTAAGACATTAAAAATGCTTGGGATTGCGTACATCAATGCGTTTACTACTATTCGCATTCCTTGCCATCGTGATATCGCCCGAAGAGGTCTCAGTGCTCGTAAAGTTCTTAAAGATCTGAGAACTTTCAGGTTTTCGTTTTCTTCTATCAACAAACTGAATACTGAAACCTAAAAAGAAGAAAATATAAAATAAATTTAAATAATTTCTTATCCATTACATTACAATAATTCATTACGTGAATACTTACAAAAACTATAGTGAAGTCTAAAAGCGTCCAAAAACTTGTAAAATATCTGAAGAAGCCCAAAGCTATCCATTTCAGAAACATTTCAATCACGAAGATCAAGCAGAAACCTAAGTTGGTCCAATAGAGTATTTTTTTCAATGGTATATTTTTTTCTAGGTGGATATCTTCGAAGCATAGGGTTATACTAGACGCAAAAATCAAAACTAGGACAAACCATTCAAATGCTGGTGTATCAACATATCGTAAAATAAAAGTACGAATAAACATCCATCGTTGACCAAGCTTAGTTTGTATGCAAGCATCCCAACATGAACACCTGGAAGAAATAAGACATTATAATTTTAAATAACTTTATTTTAGTATGTAGCATAAAAATATAACCTTAAAATGAATCAAAATGGAAATACACTAACACAAAACGCTTTCTATACATACGCGGTGTAACACTGACGAGGAAAACAATCTTGTGGCACTTTTGGTTCTTTTCGTTTACCAAAGCCAGGAAAATTTCCCATAGCATCTATATATTGACCCTTGGAGTTTTTTCTCCCACCTATTGTTAGTTCATCTACATATGATACCAAAGTTTGCCATGGACGTTTCATGTCTTCTTCATCTGTCCTTTTTGATGTTTCCCTATTTAAAATACTTTGTAGTTCCTTTCCTTGTGTCCTAGATTTATCTGGTGTAGTTCGACAAGATATTTGAGCCATTTCATATTGTTCATTTTCATCTACAATGAGATTTATAAATTTTCACAAATAGTCAGAAATTAAATAAATATTAAATACTAGCCTTATTATTATTATGGGTCAATTACGCAAAACAATACTTACCTTTTGAATCTGAAGGTTGTGTATGATAACCCGATGACGATTGATTTAGTAATCGTTGTGCAATAACTTTTTCCGTTATAGACGAGGTTTCATCTAAATTTTCTTTAGAATCCTCTCTTATACTTGTTATTTTATATTCTGTTGCTAAATCACGTACATCTTTCAAAGTTTCTTGACTGCCGTGATTCAAATTATTTCCACCCTGATAAAATTGTGGATATGCGAAGTCAGAGCCTACCGATATTGGCCTAAAATGATTATTATGTAAGTAATTTTACCATTATGAAGTATCTGGAATCATATTATAAACTTTTATAATTTTAATTTTAAATAACATTTCCTTTTTCAATCCCATTGTTTAAGCCACAATTACAATGAAATCAATCTAAAGGTAAACATGTAACAAAAGTATTTTTTATTACACGTTTACTTATTGCTACGGCTAAGTTTCTAGTGCAGTTATGTTCTTATGTTGTGTTCACTCTTTTGGATTATACTTTATATTAACACCAATGTACTTTGAATTTTATTTTTTATTAGTTTATTGTATTTTTAATTAAAAAAATAAAATATGATAACAAATTAATACCTATTTAATGCTTCCTGATAACTGTGACTATATATATTGTCATGAGGAAAAAGTATATTCTCTTGCACTGATGAAGAGAACTTTCGCTCGCTAGGTATAGACGCTTCCTTTTCCTTCATTGCGCGTTGTTGTATCATGATTTCATTAACGAGCTCTTCTAACTTAGATTTTTTTTCAGTCTCTTTACTCCTAGATATAAGGAAACCTTTTTTTCTAACTATAGAACGTATTCTATCAAAACTTTTAGCTAATTTTGAGTCCTCACCAACTTCCTGTAAACATATTTTTTATTTAAAAATACGTGTGTCCCTCCAAATTTGGATTATCTCTTGTATTTTGGATGCAGTTTGATGTACATAAATTGCACACGAACAAACATACTGGTCTGTTAGTTAAGTTATTAATATATAGCAATAGAATTAGCGTTTCTGCAAATCGGGTGAGTATGTTCTATTCTATTACAGTACCATACTAAAATTAAATAGATATATTTGGATTAAAATTGCTGAAATAGAACATAATATTGTCATTACCTCTTTTTTATTTTTGAGTTCTTCACTGTTAAAGCTGTTAAGCAGCAAGGCAAGGAAGAGGTTGAGCACCATAAAGTTTCCCATTACAAGTGCAGGTAGGAAAATAAAGAAACAGCTTTCTGCGCCACTTGCTTCTTCAGCACGCATGCAATCCCATAGTGGTTCGATCCACTCGCCACACAGGATTCGGAATATCATCATGAATGAGTGAAAAAAATCATTGAAGTTCCACCTTAAGGAAAAATATTGTTATTCTGTTTTATATTTCAAAGAATTCTTAAAATAATTTAAAGTTTCAGGAGGATATAAAACCCGAACTTGGAAATAAATAAACGACAGGTTTAAGTTTTAAAGTGATATACGTGTAATTGTCAGTGTAAGGGTAAAACGTTAGTGGTAAGCGTTCGGCGGGGCGTGCGTGCGAAACGCACCGTCACGACGCACGCCCCACCTAACGCTTTACAATGAGGCCTAAAGCTAATACCGAGTATCCACCAAAGGAAAATTGCCAACTTTTGTGTTGTGAACAAGTGTTGGTTTTTTTATAGGAAAGGGTGACAAACGAGCACACATTCCACCTGATGGTAAGTGGTTGCTGTGGTCCATAGACATTTACATCTATCTTCGATTACGAATCAAAATGCAGTGCGTTGTCACCCGTGAGGAAAAATACGCTTGTTGCAAACATTTATTCGCTCTGTGGGGACGCTTGTCAGTTGGCAACATGCCTGTCACGTGGACGAACGAATTAACCGACACGAAGGCTTTAAAGAAGACAGCGTGTTTTTTATTATAAAACTTATAGGTCGGATTAAAATTTTGCTGCCGGTCACCTTTGTAGAGTTGAAGAGGGGAACTACCCCCTTAAACCATCTATAGTTGATGTATAGTTTTTATGTTGTGTTTTTTGAATGATTCATGACCTTACTTTTTTGTGTCTAAATTTTACAGTGTGACACCTCCGTAGAGAGTAGAGAGGGGAATGGTGGGGACAGTGAGAATTACTACCTTAAACTCCCCTCGCGAGAATTTATAATTTTTACAAGTTATCTATTAAGTTGATTGAATTTAACAGTAAAAACCAACCCAAACGTTGTGCAATATTTATTGAAGTAATAATTTTTTGTACATACCTGGGCACAGGGTCTGGATCAAACTTCTCAGGAGTGTATGACTTAGAAAATAGTTGCATGCCGATAACAGCAAAAATATAAATAACTATCACTAAAACGAAAGTTAAATTACCAAGAGCACCTATAGTCGATATAATTATACTTAACAACACTTTCATTGTAGTCCATGACTGAGCTAACTTTAACACTCGTAACTAAAACAAAACACATGTTATTTAGATAAGATAAAGACGAAGTTAGAGCAACATATTAACGAATTGCCGAACATACCAAACGAAGGCCCCTTAAAACGGATAAACCATCAACAAGTTCAAATATAAGGTCCAGAAGACTTGCAGATACGATTATCAGATCAAAAATATTCCATCCACAAGAAAAGAAATCCTTACTCATTGCCATCACTTTCATAATACATTCTAATGTAAATATTGAAGTGAAAACCTGAAATGAAAAGTTTCTTATAGAATCGATTACGACAATGGTTTAAAGATATATAAGAATTTATATGATTAATACCTTATTTCCTATATCTAAAGCTTGCCTAACATTTTCACTCATTCCGTGATGTTCCAGAGCAAGGAAAAGTGTATTTAATACTATACATGTAGTTATGAACAATTCAAATAATGGATCTTTCACAATCCCATATAAGCAGTTCTGGAACTGTAACCAACCCTCGTAGTCTATGCAGCAAGAAACGCAGCACTCGCAATTTCTATCCACAAGTTCATCTGTGAGTAAATTAGAAATATTAATATACTAAAAGGGTATGATTTTATAATACAACACAAAGACACCCAGAAAGAAATTTAAAAAGTCTAAAATAAAATTTAAACAATAGCTTTAAGCGTTATGAAGCGTTTATAAAACTTTGCAATAGCAAGCTATATTTTGCTCTGTCATTCCAATGTGACATTATGTATAGTTAGTTAAAATTGTTCATGCATTTGATTACAGGCATAGGGGGCTAAAGGAAAGACGCAGGAGATGCTTTTAAATGATTACGCCAACAATTGTTTTTATAAATTCACTGATGATTTTTTAATTTAAATAATTGGATAGCATAAAATACTATTATAGAATATTTAAATAAGTAAATTTATAGCAAAAGGAATTTAAATGCAATTTTTAATACGATTTTACCAATAATATTTATCAAAAACCCCTAATTTTACAAACCCTGCTGTCTTCCCATAAGGAACAGGGGTGGACTGGGGAGCGGAAGCGTTGGCATCTGTAGTGTTTTACTAACCTGTGAAGTAAGTGCAATTTTGCTCGTAATTGCCCATATGAGATTTGTGCGTGGCTGCCAATAAACTGAGCTCATTAATTTTCGTCGTCTCCGCTTGGGGGAGGTCGGGCGCGTGCTTGTATGGCCAGTCCGCCCCTGACGATATTAATGAGGGTAGAAGCGAAATTGCAATAGTGTAATTTAAAAGTGATCTATGGGGTATTGTAAAATTTCATACAGATGTGAAACTAATTGTGAATTGTATCAGCCACTATGTTAAAATACTAATAAAGTGTCCGAGCTGGAAAATTGAAGGTCAAATAGTAACTTTCATCTTTAAATCAGTGAAAATATATAGTTACTTTTGTTAGCAGCATACTTTATAGATAGCACACACGGAAACCTTGTTTGTTATTTCATTACATAGTTTTGAATAAATATTAAAACACTAATAATTGTGGAAATAAATAAAATATTCTGCTTTTAATATAATTTATTAATATTAAGTATCTTGCTTGGTTTGGACCAAATTAAAAATCCCAATGATCTTTATACAAAATTAAAAATTAATTCTCATATAAAACTTTTTTTAGGGTTAAGGTGATGTACATGATGATTTCATTGCAAAATATTTGTGACGGTAAAATAAGGTTATTTTAATAAAGTTTATAAATGTACCGTGTTTAATGTTTAAATTACTAGATCAATAATAGCAAATGCAAATAGAAATAGATTAAAAATACATTAAATCTTGATTCAATACAGCTACATGGCATATAAGTAAGGATCAAATAAAGATATTAAATAATGTGTGACTTACGATATTTGCCAATATGCAAAATATACAAGCACTGGAAGTCAATAATGAAACAACGTAAAAGATTTTTCCTTTAAGTTTCTTTTGAACTTAAAAAGTACAAAGAGTTTAATATCATGCAAGTTTAAAGTTGCATATTTAATACATATTTTACAATTGTATCAGATTCTAATTCTACATAACCAATGTAAATACCGAGTTTTTTTAACAATCTATCAAAGAGTTGAAGTGCTTTTTAATTTAAAAGGGCTCTTAAATTAGCAAAGCATTCATTCGAAAAGTTGTGATACTTCTTTCGTGCTTTCCTATTTTAAAGCGTGCTTCAACATTTGTCAGTAATGCAATCAATTACTTATTGTATAATAAAAGTAATAAACTAGGTTTGATGGCATTACTTGAACATGTAATTGAAAAAGCTGTGCAGCAAATGAGCAAAATTTGTTTTACCTAGCACCACAATCTGATTGAGGTAATCAGGATTTAGGGGGTATTTTTCTTGGATGCTTCCCTTTTCCTCTTTCTTTTTTGTTTTTTCAGTGCGCTTATTACTTTTGGAACCATTACTTTGAGTTGTTTCCTGCAATTGGCTGTCCTGCAAAGTTTTAGATACTTGCATGATACAGAGGATTAAGCAACTAACATATATCTGTATGTACACATATATATATATATATATATGTGTACATACAAATCCATTCAAATAAATAGGTACGCTTAATGCTTTCCCTACAGTTTTAATGGTCTTATGTTATTTAATATATTTTATGTATTGCGAAAATATATTTATTTATTTTATTTATTTACACTTTATTGTACACCTGAAATAAAAAGAATTATAAGAGGGAGACTTAATGCCTTTTGGCATTCTCTTCCAGTCAACCCGGGATGCAATGATAAACGTAGCAATTATATTATTATATTAATTATATTACAAAGGCCGGGACGCGTGAAAAATAATTTGACTAGTGCCAAAATAAACCGAACATTGATAAAATTGAAAAACACACACACACACACACACACACACACACACACACACACACACACACACACACACACACACACACACACACACACACACACACAAACACATACAAAATATACCTTTAGCATTTCTAGAAAAAAATGAATAGTGAAAGAAATAAAAATAAAATGTCGTTAAAAAGAACAAGTAAATGATTTGTAAAACTCACTTGTTGAATTTGAGGAATTTGAGGTAGTGGCGTTGGTGGATGCGGAGGCAGAAGTGGCGGTGGCAGCAGATGCGTGCGCCGTGGATGCGGATGCGGAGCTTGATCATCAGAAGTATGTTCACCATCATCGTGGTCATCCACTACACCTGAGTCGTCGAGTGATGATTCCCGGTTGTTGCTATGGTCACTTAACTGACGACCAGCTACACTTAATGCCCCGCGACCTGTTAAGTAGTCTTTTAAATCAAAGAAGCCTCTGAGTTTAGTTTTATTAGTGTTGAAATAAAATTCTATAGTTACGTCAGCAGTTCAGAGATGAGTCCTAAATTCAAGTATGCAAGCTACCAGAGTCCGATCCCCGCTGATATCAATGAAAATGCTTATTGCAATTTTAAGTACTGATTTACCACATGCTCGATGATATGTGTAAACACCATGACGAAATCATGTATATAAAAATACAAATTTGCAATAATCACAAAGCCTCACAAACTCTTAAGCAAGCTACGCGACGTACACTTTCTTGAACTACTTAAACGTGAGAAAAGGGGCATTAGTTAAAGGTGAAGATGATAAAAATCTTAAAATTGCCCACAATTTTTACTTTTAGTCATAATATGATGATTTCATGTAGGTAGGCACTATTATTTCTTTCCTTTCAAAACTAGTTACCTCCACACTAGGATTTTCTCCTGTATCGTGAGGGCAGTTTACATACATAAATTTCACAAAGACAAACATTCAGACCCGGAACAATTATTTCTAGGCCATATTGTTCTGTGCGGGATTTGAACCCGCGGCCCTCAGCGCTGCAACTCATTGCTAAGCCACTGCGCCACGGAGCCGTATTATATTACATTATGTCATGTATTTTTTAAATATTTTGTATACATTACCTAAAGCATTGTCAGGATGTAATGTATGCGGTGGTGGCGGCTGAGGGGGCACTAGTGGAGGAGGTGGTGAGCCACTCGGGGTCACTGACCGTGACCTGGACCTTGAACTGGGTAATTAAAGAAATATTTCAGTGTACGTTACAAAAATTGGTTGACAATTTTCTGTGGTAAATGAAATCGGAAGCAATGTGAAGTTATGCATGAATTTTAACGATATACCAGTCTACATGATACGTGAGTTCTGCCACGGAAATCCAACCAAAAAACTTTTCCAATCCAACATATAATATTTAAGACTAGCTGACACCCGCAACTTCGTCCGCGTTGCTTGATATAGTACCAAATAAAACACACATCACTGAACACTTAGTGCTTATAAAACGCATTGTTTCTTAAAACTTTAATAACTTTATATTAAATGAATATATCGTAATATTGTTTTTTAGATAAGGGCCAAGTGTCTAACGGTGCGTACATATTATATAACGTAACATGTTATAAAATAAAATAACATAATAACATAACATAAAATAACATGTTTCAGTAATGTGGAGGCTGTATGTTATAAAACGTGTTATATAACATTACACTAATATCATAACATCAATTATATTGCATTGTTATTCTAATGTGTACAGTATTGTTATATGTTGCAATGTTGAAAAACAATGTTACATAATGTGGACGTGTTATAAAACAAAAGTTACACAACATGTTACTTAATCTGTACGCACCTGTACGCACTGAAAAAAAGATAGTACGCTAGTTAGGCAAGTAACTTTAAAAGTTGACGCATTTGAGAAGTATTTCAAAATAGTATGGCATTTTCCTTCAGTAAAGTACGAATATCATACCTTAACTACAGATTGCGCTAGTGCTTCTTAATAGTTTGTGTTACAGATCTACATTGGATCTACTGTTACGTTAGCAATCCACGCAGTGGTTGTTCAAAGAAGATAATTTACCCACAATAGTTCTTCGCGACCAAAGTGTAAATAAAAAAAATGTTTTTTTTTCTGACGCGGTGGTCCTGTAGCGATTATTTTACTAGAACACCTTTTATTATCTGTCTGCCCAAAAGAGTTCAATTAACGATCACCCAAGGTGCAGCTTTTGTGGAATTTTTTTCAACAAATTATACTGCCAAGAAAAGAGCCTACTCCTTTTTAAAGGCCGGCAACTACACTAATAATTAATATTTTAGCGTAACAGTTAACAAAGATTCCGGTCCGGCCTTATATCAAACGAATTCAACAGAATATCACGATGTAATACCAAAACAATATTTTAAAAGTAATTTATGTACTGTAAAAAGGCTTTTTACAGTACATAAATTACTTTCAGTGCCGCTTTAATGCTCTCCTGAAATACTTAAAGGTTAGATTTTCTTTAAGATTTATCTTACATGGACATGGTCACAAATTAATTTACACACAAATATTTGGAACACACAACAAAGTTTTTACAATTTTATAACAAACAAAGAGTAATCAGAAGTTTTGTATAAAATATATATTATACATGTACCTTTCTGAAACAGCTGTGACTGCCGCTATATGGTGTAAAGCGTTTTTGCCCCTCTTGCGTCTTCTTGTTCTCTTTCTCGAGTAGGAGGCTAATAAAAGTCCCTTTCGGGCGTCAATACGCTTTTTAGAATCCTTAGCTAGAGCCCGTACTGCCAACGAGGTGGGATCGAAACTGAATGTGGAATCGTCCCGATGTTCATTCAGGTCCTTCTTGCGTTCCTAATTTAGAAAATCAAAGTTAATATTGTTGCATTTATCAATTGTGCACAATGTTATTATGGACATGAACATGATGTTCCTCAAACAAATATATTACATACATTTTCTTTATTAATTATGTAATTTATGATAAATTTGCTTTATGATAGCGGGGTATCTTTCGCCGTTTTTTCTCCAGTCAGAGGAAACTTTTTTATAGAATATTGGTGACGAACGAGCATACAGTTCATTTGATGGTAAGTGGATGCTGTGATTTGTAGACATATACATCTATCCTCGATTATGAATCAAAATGTAGATGCATTGTAACCCTTGAGTGAGATGGAATGCCTAGTATCCTGTAAAAAGGGTCTCGGGTTCTCTATCCTCACCATACGAAACACAGCAGAAAAGCAGCTAAACTTTTCTGCTGTGTGTCTTTAAGCCGCTACTTCACGCTGCTATTCTGTAAGAGCGTGGTCTTACCCCGGTCGAGGCGACCCATTCGTGCTACAACAATGTAATAGCTGCAACGTCGTTCTACAAAGGGCAAAGTACACATAAACCTCATTTTGAAATGGCAGTAGATTTAGTAGGTTTAAAATAACTGGTCAAGTGCGAGTCCGTCTCGCGCATGAAGAGTTCTGTACCATCGTAATATTTTGTGAAAATTTCAACTGTCAACCTATTACCAGAATGAGATACAGCCCGCTGACCGACAGACGGACGGACGGCGGACGGACAGCTGAGACTTAGTAATAAGGGCCCGCTGATTACCCTTTGGGTACGGAGCCCTAAAAATGGCATTCGACAAACGAAATTTATTTTCTTACGTTGAATAAAATAAGGATATTTAATTTTGTTTCATTTTATAAAATGTTACCTCTTGCGTAATCTGCGATTCCTCTTCATAGCTGAGCGCTACCACAGCTAGCATCAGGTTGATAAGGTAGAAGGAGCCGAAGAAGACGACTACCGTAAAAAACGACACGGACATCGGACCACACGAAGACAGCACCTTAACAGAGAAAAAATGTTACTTGTAAATACATAAAAACTTACGCCTGTCACCTAGAGGGGTAGGCGGAGACTACGGACTTCCGTTCTACACGATCCTGATACATCTCTCTCGCCTCCTACACATCCATATACCTACGCATACATGCTCGTCGGTTAAGGGTACTCTTAATTTGGCCCATTCTCTTAATTTCAATATATCGCCAATTAGGTCGATATACTTTCGCCTAGGGAATCCCTTTTCGACTCTAGTTACTTGTATAAGATTAATTAAAAATTAAAAATTTTGTACAACCGACTTCAATATAAACTATTAAGAATAACTCAAAAATTGTTGGTCAGACCTTGATTAAATTTGAAAACCTTGGGACCACAGGTGAAGATTTCAAATAGCTTTCAAATAAAAAAAGAATCATCGAAATCGGTTCACCCAGTAAAAAGTTATGAAGTAACACACATAAAAAAACATACAGTCAAATTGAGTACCGTCTCCTTTTTGAAGTCGGTAGAAAAATATTGTTACCGTTGCAGCCTGTCAAAAGGCCAATGCTGAACATAGGCCACAATAGATTGCCCCATAGGGGGATATATTTGCCATAGTTCCTACGCTGGGCATTGAGTTAGTAACTTGAGTATTTATTTTAACTTTTATTAGGAATACGCTAGTGCTCATCTCCTGGTTTGTTTTCCTCTGTTGGCTCTTACGAAACCCTCGGCTTTCGGGACGATATGGGGTAGTGGATTACTAAAATATATGAAATACATAAAAATACTGCTATAGGGAAATAAGAGGAATAACAGCAGGTCAATAAATTCATAACAGGAGTAAAAATTTCTTGCCGGTACAAGTTTCTTGCTGGTTCTTCCCAGGACAGAGGATTTTTTTTGAACCAGTGGTAAAGTAAAAAATGACTTTAATTACTTATCAATATTGAATAAAAAATTATTCTAAATAATTGTTAAGGGTTAACTAATATCTTTTTTTAAATTTACTATGGATGTAAATTTGAATTGAGAAAGAAAGAATTCGATTCCAGAACGAATTATTATTAATACTAGCGTGTGCTACTATGCTAAAAAAAGAAACATTTTGTTTATTTGTCGGAAAAAAGGAAATTTAGTTTATTTATTAACGTTTTTATATATGGCCTAATGCACTGTTTTTGTGGTCTAAAATCATTTTCACATTATTGCCTTTCTAATGAAACCGGCTTGGGGCACATCGGTTGGATGGTTTCTAAGTCTATAACGGACATAGGTAGAAACAATTTTTGTGTTTTATATAGCTAAGATTATAAATGTGAAAGATAATAAATTCGAAACGGTCACGTTTGGATGTATGTTATGCAACACGCTCAGATGGCTGGAAGGATTTTGTTTTTTGTTTTTTTGTTTATTATTAAAAAATACTAGTAATGCTATTAAACATTACTAATATTCCCTTTAACCACTTCTGGTAAGCTTAAAATGTTTGTGTTAGAAGTGGTTCACGACAGTAGTCGAATGGCGAAATCCAACCCACTACCTCTAAAGTTCACGGTCCACTCCCTGCCATTAGGCTACTGTTTTAATGATATTTTGCATAGAGGTACATTTTAATGAAAAGGGGCATATGATAACTTTTATGATGATTTATGAATATATTGATAGCTCCATATCTTTGGAATGTACTCATTGTTGGCGGCAACAATAAATTGTTAATTTAGCTTTAGAGCTCGTATTAAGTGTTTCTTTGTTTAAGTCTATGGAATAGTTTAGATATAGAGATAAGGTCCAACTGTACAGTAAATTTGTGTGATTTTCTCAATGCTATTTTTCCTGTGATAATATCGAAGTTTTATTTAATTTCCTGTGCACCAGAGGTTTAACTACCAAACAGAATAATATAAAATCCACTCAAAACACTAATTACTTTTGAAGAGCCTTAGTAACTTAAGGGCTTATCGCCCGCCGTAAATATCATAGAACACGAGCGACACTGGTTCGATCCCCGCCGGCGGCAATGAAATTATTAATTTAGTTTAAGTGCTCATTTACCACGTGGTCGGTGGTGAAGGAAAACATTGTGGGGCATCCCACATGTCTGCAAAATTAAAAAAATAATATTTGAAGACATGAGAAGACCGCCAGCCCGCACTGGGGCAGAACGGCTGTAATTTCATTGTACTAAAATCTTATCAGACGTATCTAGGTTGTTACTATTTCGCCGAATACCTTATGCCTAAGTTATTGACAATCTATGTCCACCACCATATTATTTATTTTCCGCTGACGTCATATACTCTGTTTCCCTAAAATTCCTCGCACTATTGTGACCTCGCACTATTGTTTTACGTGGAAGAGCCATGCTGCAGCTATATTAGTAGTATAGTTGTAGCACGAATGGGTCGGCCCGACCGGGGAAGGATCACGCTCTCACAGAATACCAGCGTAAAATAGCATCTTAACGCTGCTGTGTTTCGTATGGTGAGCGTAGAGAACCGGAGACCCTTTTTACTGGAAAAGAGGCATTCCATCTTAGTCCTCAAGGGTGACACCGCATCTGCATTTTGATTTGCAAACGAGGATAGATGTAGATGTCTATGGGCCACAGCAACCACTTACCATCAGGTGGACTGTGTGCTCGTTTGTCACCTTATCCTATAAAAAAAATCGATTGAGATAATATACGAGTATTTGAGAAATTAGACAACTCGTTAAGAAGTTACAGATCGATATAGAAACATACACACACATACACACCAGCTAATAATATTACTGGGGAAAAAAACATAAGGTATTCTTTGACACGCATTTTCTAAGCGTTAATGATAAATAAACACCGCAGTTTAGTAAAATAGGGGTAAATTATTCGCTAAGCAACAGTTAACGTGGCTAGTTTCGTGGGAATTAGTGCTCTACGTACACGTTCCCTGTTAACCTTCATTAAGTAATTCTATTACCGTTTAAGCCAACGTATCATTCACCTTTGACAGTCTGCTAAAATATTAAAGTTTTTTCATTAATAGAATATGGGTCATTTAAAAATTTCTTTCTACCATTTATGTTGTATAACCTTATTTTTAGCGGCAATTTTGTGATTTATATCATAACATTGTATATCGAATTTAAACAATACATCTTCTGGTTTAGTACCAATGTTGCATGCAGCTGCTTAGCATCTGGTTGAGTAAAAAAAGCAACGCTCTTCTCACCAGTGGGCCCTAGTGTTGGTACTCTTGAGACGAAAGATCCACCAAAGGACTTAATTTCTAGCCCCAGAAACCAAAATATACTATTGGGTCTTATGTTATTATCATCAAATGTTTCTGTTTTAGTGAATGTGTTTATACTCTTTTGCGAAATTAAATGTTTAAACCACAAAAATTAAGCAAGATACTATGGGAATATTTATAGAAGCAATAGCTCATCAGATAGCGTATTTTAAATAACAAATACAGATAAACTGCCAGCATTTTGCTTTCACTAATAACAGCACGATCTATAAAAAAATAATATTTTTGATAAATGAAAATGAAAATGAAAATGTTTATTTGTAACAGTTACATGAATTATAAATGAGACATCCCCAGTAAGTAATTGATAATACTTGTGTTGGGGCTATCTCGCTCTTTCCCTTAATTATTAACAATATTGAGACTATTATACAAAAGGTAAGTAAAGATAAATTTATGAAGAATAAAATAACAGTAAGTGACTTATAAAGTAATTATTAGCTCTTTGTGTAACTGTAGTTGTACGCCTGTGTGAAACTGTAGTGCATCTTGTTTTTAAACAGTGTTTGTGCTGTAGAACGTGCGTGCGTGTGTGCGTGTGTGTGTGTGTGTGTGTGTGTGTGTGTGTGTGTGTGTGTGTGTGTGTGTGTTTGTGTGTGCGTGCGTTTATGTGTGTGAGTGTGTGTCTTCTTTGTAGTGCCGGTGTGTCCGAAGTGCATGTAATAGATTAAGTTCGGTGAGTACATACATTATTGATAAGAAAGAAGAAAAAAAAATTGTTTAACTAAGTCTATCTAAAATTTGTTCAGTTTCTTCGTATGTTAAGGATTCGTAAGTTAGCTTATTAAAAACTAATATTTAATAAATAAAGATGTTTATAATTACGGAAGTTATTCAATTATAAACTACAGTACAGTACGTATAAAAATAACAGGCGCTGTTGACGATCGTATTTCATGAAATGATCTGCGATTGCAATAATGTTTATGGTACTGCAAGATCTGCGCTGTTGACATTTTGTAGTACATAACTAATTTATTAGCAAATAAAAAAAATTCTATGTAAAATTATGCTGTTTATGTCTAAGAAGAGGACCATTTTAAATTACGGATATAACGAACTGTATGTGCACGTCAAAATATTGCGAAAGTTTTAGATGGAAATTAGGCCCGTGTAGAAGGTTTTAATACGTGTGTAAAGCAAACAAACTGTAAGTTTTGGGCACCCACTGAGCATATTCATTATTCGGGGACCATTTTGTCGGGCGCTGCTTAATTAATTTCTAGGGAAAATTATTTTAAGAGGGATCTTACACATGGGTATGCATTTAAGTCTGATAGAGCATATTTTGGCGCTATCGACAAAGTGTCCTTAGATTAATTACGTTTGTGTCACTTTAACTTAAATACAATATGGATGATTTTGGATTATGTGTAAAAATTATTTTTTATAAATAAAGTATTCGTACGCTGTTATCATGGATTTCGATTAAAATATTTATATGTTACAGTCAAAAGTCATAACAGGTCAAAACCACTTTTGACTGTCAAATATCAGGCAAAAGTAGTTTTGACTAAGGACATTAGTCAATACCACTTTTAACTGATTTTCGCAGTCAAAAGTAGTTTTCACTAAGGACGTTGGTCAAAACCATTTTTAAGTGCAAAATATTAGATAATAGTGATTTTGATCAAATTACATCGCCAAAAGTGGTTTTGACCGACAATGTTAGTGAAAACTTCTTTTGACTTATACTTGTTGAATTTCTGAAATTAAAATGTTCAATTTATTTAATATTTTATTTTATATCATTATAATATAAGCGGCTTTAGGGTAGCCCAAGGGCCACCCCAGTCGCAGCTTAACCTACTGTTACTGATATTGTGAGTTTTGACCGATAGTGTGAACTTTAAATCAGGCAAAATTACTTTTGACTACGAACGTTGGTCGGAACCACTTTTGACTACAAAAATCAGTCAAAACTGTTTATGACTATGGGCACCTGCAAAACTATTTTTATATGATTTTTGCAGTCAAAAGTGGTTTTGACCGGTTATAAGTTTTGACTGTGACATATATAAGAAACTAGTGTTTGTAGTTCTCATATTGCAACGTTAAGAGATATTTCATATCTACGCTTTTCTAGAAGTACTTATTAAATTTGTGCGTAATTATTTCAAGAATTGAAATTAACGTTACATATTTTAAGACAAGATTGTAATTGTAACTAAACAAATGGTTAATGTAACTAAACAACTGGCAAACGTACAACTGGTAACGTTTTACATACGTTATCGAAGTAAGAATCCTAGCCCGATTTTCCCATATTACAGAGTTTTATATAAGCGATGAATAATTAAAAATGGTTAAAAATTCAGCCTACAAGTATAAAATGCGGGCGATGACGACAATAGAAAAGTAATTAATTATTATTGGTTTAGCTTGCCGCTTTAAAAAAAACATAAAGAACGTAAATATTCTCATTTAAACCAGAAACCAACCCACCCCCGTAAACATAGTTTAATTTTCATATTTTTTGGAAATTTTGTAGATATAATGAAAAACTAGGTCCGTACGTTTTTATGTTAAACATATATCGCGTACAATTTAAGTTATACTCGTATACCTAAATATCTATATTTTTGATTTAAAACTGACCACACTATTTCTCACCCTGTCATTCAGATTCAGCCCTAGCATAGTCCTTAATGACCGCATTTCTACAGCATTCATTTTACTCTCATGCTTCTTCTGCCAGACCCAACTTTCACTACCATACATTTAAGTAAGGACTAATACAGCATTATGAATTGCCATACGTGCCTTATTTGACACATTCTGACTCTTCATAATAGCGTGTAGAGTCCCATTCACTCTATTTCCTGCGTTCACTCGTCGTTCTATATCCTTATCATATCTACCATCCCTGCTAAATAAACATCCCAAATATACATTCTCATCCACTTGGTCAATCAACTCCCTATAACTAACTAAATAACTTCACATAACGTTTTACTTTTTTCTCTTTCAAAAACCATCAATTTCGTCTTACTTGCGTTCAAAAGTGTGGTTTGCGAGATGATGTTGTGACCCGGATTAATAAAGGAATGCTTCGGTGGTTTGGTCATGTAGAAAGAATGAACGAGGAAAGAGTGACAAACCAAATTTGGCAAAGTCGGGAAGGGACGCCCTAGACGAAGATTTATCGACCAAATTGGCGATACATTGAAAATGGGCCAGATTAGGAGTACCCTTAACCGACGAGCGTGTATGCGTATGGTGTGTCAGGATCGCGCCAAATGGAAGTCCGTAGTCTCTGCCTACCCCTCTGGGTGACAGGCGTGAGTTATTTTTTTAATTAAACCAAACTGAATTACTAAAAAAGAAAAAGGTAACAGACCTAGATATTTAGGTTTACTGAATCTAATGAGACCAAAATTGTCTCATTTCGTAAAGGTTTAGGGAGGTGAGGTTATTGCCCGCAACAATATTTCAAAAAGGAAATGTAGGCTATTGCCTACAAGTCTTGCTATCTCTATCCTATGATACGGCGATTCGGAATGAGCGGTATGAAACAGATAGCATATTTATAAAATACCTACTTCCGTCACGTATCAGCACTTCACAATCCTCTAATGCTATCATTAAGAGGATTGTCACACACTCTCTCTCAGACCACACACAGTTTTGCCTGACAGATCTTACAAATTTTCTGGAAGTTTGTTGTAAAAGCACCTGCGTTGCCAAATGAATGTATGACTGACTCTGTAGAGTCGAGTCACTGAAACTGAATTTAATATTAATAAAATAGAGAACCTATTTGTTTTTCTAGTCTATAAACTAACCATGTTATACACATTTTCCCAGTAGTCCAAGGTTATAAGTTGAAAGGTAGTGAGCATAGACCACAAAAAATTATCAAAGTTCGTGTAGCCATGATTTGGGTTCGGCCCCACGCATAAACAGGTGTATTCTGGAGGACAATGCCGCGCTCCTGTCAGGTTACCACAAATAATAGGCACTTCTTCTTCATTTACCATCCAATTAGATGGCTCTCTTATCCACCTGTAAGGAAAAAATATATTTACTTTATTTTGTTGAGACGAGTTAATAGTAAAAAAATTGTGTTTAAGAAGGTTAAGGGCCAGGAAAGAATCCAACGTCTTGCTTCAGGCTGAAATTATCGTAGCGGTGTTTCAAATTGCGATTATTTTAATAATGTCTGAATAGAGTGATACACATCTTCCATTAAATTTGCATCGATAAAATGCAAGATACTTTGAAACTTCAATTAAAACTATGTTAAATTAGTTATATAAGTATTCAGTTAGGTATATATTTTGCAAAAATAAAAATTGTATATTTATTTCACATATAAAATAGCGTCTGTGTAGGTAAATATACTTAGGTAGAGCCACGTCGGAGCTATATTATGGTTGTAGCACAAATGGGTCAGCTTGACCGGGGAAGAACCACGCTCTCACAGAATACCAGAGTAAAATAGCAGTTTAATGCTGCTGTGTTTCGTATGGTGAGTGTAGAGAATCGGAGACTCTTTATACTGAAAACGAGGGATTCCTTCTCATTCCTCACGGCTGACAACGCATATATATTTTGATTCGTAAACGAGGATAAATGTAGATGTCTATGGGACATAGCATCCATTTACCATCAGGTGGACTGTGTGCTCGTTTATCACCCTTATTCTATAATACGTAAGTAAATATATATTATATAGTAGAATCGTAGGAGCTCAGTGGATTAGCGCTCGAAAAATTTACAGTAACAATCTGGGTTTGAACCTCGCTGGCCCAATTTACCACATGCTCAGCGGTAAAGAAAAACATCGTGTTGAAACCATTGAGTTATACGTACTACGTACTAGAGAAGCCATTCCAAACAAAAATTGTGTCCTACTCTATGTCTTCGCGCATGCGCGGGAGTAGTAGTCGCGCATGCGCGAAGACTTTAATTTAATATAAAATAAGATATTAATATAAAATAAATATAAGAATTTAATATAAAATATCTTAATTTAATCTAAACAAACATATTTCTAAATAAAATGTAATAATAATTATTTTATGGAATTCACAAATCTTCAATTTACGCAATATTTTGTTCGTATGGATTGCACTACAGTTCAGTTGAACATGGTCAATGTTCGGAATGGCTTCTCTAGTACGTAGTACATATAGCTCAATGGTTGAAACCCGTATGTCATCGAATAAAATATTTGAAGTGCGAGTGAAGTTCATCAACATGCAACATACGTAGCGAACTAATTGATATATCACCCTCTCAGAAATGAGAGAAGGCCTCCTCTACCAACAGCAGGACATAATATAGACTGATAGTATATACGAATATAAATATCTACTTGTTCGGAATTTAAAAAAAATTACAATATAACCATTCTGTGTCATAAAAAGCGACTGATAAAATATTTATATTAATATTTTGTCATATTTTGTCGTGAAAATTACTCGCATTTCTAGACTTGGATAGTAATTGGATCGCCATAATTCTGTTGCTATTTCAAACGAAGAATATTTCCACAGTCTAAAGACACTACTCTAATTCACATACTCTTTTATACCCGATATCATCTTAATTTCATACTTAACCGATCATCATCATCATCATCATTTCTGTCCTTCACAAAGGCATACCACAAAGCATAGTTGTGGGCCACCTGCATACATCGACTTCCTGCACGTCCTACACTTCGCCTACCGGTACTTAACCGTTACATGACATAAATCTTTTTATAGCTTTATCGTGAAGAAAATAATCAAAGTGTCTAGTGTCATCAACTTACTGTAACCATAGTTCATCAGAGAAGTTTTCGCCAGGCTTAACAACGAGATTCTTCACACACTTGTTTCTCAACTCTCCCATGTAGACCTGCAGAGCGAACAGCGCGAACACCATCAGGCAGAAGATAGTCAAAGTCATGACCTCCGCTAGTTGTTTGAACGAGTGCAAAAGTGCGTTGATGATAGTCTTTAAACCTACGAAGAAAAAGTAAGGTGATGTAAACACACACACACACACACACGTACGTTTTCTGAAGATAAAGAAGTTTCATAAAATAAAACACAATACAATTGTTTTCCTTGAAAAAAAAAATCTATTAAATTACTTATTGTACGGTAAGAGAATCTATTATACAATAGTACATAATATGTAGTGTTTATAGTAAATAAAGAATTTGATTCCGGTTTGGGATGTAAGCTATTTTTTTTATTAGATTTTCGGCATGAAGAAAAAATTCATGAAACGAAATACACTTATTTAACAAGTCACTAAATTTTGTCAGCCATTTTGTTTTAACAGCTGAATTTGTTCGTGTCTGTACCGCAAAACCGATGTTTTTATATTGCATTAAAAACATTATATATTAAATTAAGAAATCCTTCTATGAATGTTTAGAAATAACAGATTGTAATGAATATTAATCCTAAAACCCTACACGGGTTGTTGGGTCACCCCAGGAAGGTTTGTTTTTTAAATAATTCTCATTATGCTATACCTACATATTTGACAGACGCGCTGTGTGAATGTGTCAACGAATGACGTGGGAACCTTAGCACCCCAGTGTATGAATACCGTAAGTATTTATATAGGTATTTTCTTATATATTGCAATTTTCCCAATTTATTTAATGTTTTAGTATATTTTAACGGAATCCTTTACATAACTTTATTTTTATTAATAAAGTCAAAAACATAGTATATGAAATTCATAATTAAAAGAGTTACTTATGTAAAAGGAACGATCAACTGACATAAATGGAGATGAAGTAGTGAAAACCAACTAGGCATCAAATTGCTTAACGAAACAAATTCTCCATGTGATGGACAATCATTTTAATAACAAATAGTAAGCCGGAAAAGTTTCGACGCACCATCATCATTACAGCCTTTCACAAGTCCACTGCTGAACATAGGCCTCCCCCAAGGAATGCCACAAAGCACGGTCCTGAGTCACCTGCATCCATCGACTTCCTGCATGTCTTACCAGGTCGTCACTCTATCTCGTGGGGAGTCGCCCTACGCTTCACCTACCGGTACGAGGCTGCCACTCAAGAACCTTTCTTCCCCATCGGTTGTCGGTTCTTCGAGCTATATGGCCGGCCCACTGCCACTTCAGCTTACTAATCTGTTTGTATATTAAGTAGATGTTAAATGATTTGATTTTAATTATATACTGTCATAATTACATATAAATATTTATTACCGTTATTAAACAATTTATAACTATATATACCTTGCACTATTAATATATACTTGTTTATCTACTATTTACTAACACTTCTATATATGTAAATGAAAATTATCTCCTTCACCAAGGATTGCCTGGAACAGATCGCTGTTCAGCAATAAGGCCACTTAATTGTACATACATTTATAAATTTAAGTTTTGCTGTGTAGTATTTTGTGTGCAATAAAGAGTATAAATAAATAAATAATAAAATAACTAAAAAATAAACATAATATTTAAATTACTAGGTATAATTATAAAATTACTAAGTATAAATATTATCTATTCCTTATTTATTTTATACGATTTTAAAATATATGTTTATGTTGTAGTAAAAAGTTTTCTAAGGTTTTCTTCTTTAAAAGATATTCACGAATGACTGTTTCAAAGAAAAGTTTATCTTATCTAAAGAAAGTTTTAATAAGCAATCCAAATCCAGGGGCCATCCCGTGTTACCGAGATAGTCTGTGTACAATGACATAATCCCGGGATTAAAGTAAGCGCCAGGAAGCGAATTCCTGATGTTACTTGTTATCCCGATTTAGTAGTAAAAGCTGGTGAAAAAAAAAACGAATATATTATACACATATAAAATAAAGGAGGCGCACATATAAAAAAGGAATCCTTCTTTGTTAAGTTTAGATAAGGTCGGCAAAATCATATTAAATATAGTACATAAATTATATAAAGAACACTTAACCTCAAATTAATGATTTATATTGCGGACATATTATTGACCTTTGCTGAGATTCGAATCCAATAATTATGACTGAACTATTTGATTTGATGACCATTAGTACAGAATTTTTATATTCAAAAACCGCGTCATTTTCCATTATGAGGTATCTTACAGAACTATTTTTAAAACAAAATACTGGTTTAAAACTTTTTGATTTTGTTTCATCGTAAGTTGACGAAAGAAAAGCTTGTAAAAAAAAAACTATTCTTACAAGCGTCTCCACCAAAAATTTGGTCGGAAAGGCATTACGGAAAAAAGGCACGTTATTATATATATGTGTAGTGGCAGAGTTAAAGTATCATTTCGTCACGGGTTTATACAGGAGACTCATTAAAAAAGGTCCCGCTGGGTTGTTTGCTGGTTCTTCCCAGGACTGAGGTATCTTCCGAACCAGTGGCAAATAAAAAATGACTTTTAATAAGTATTATGTAATAATCAATATTGAATAAAAATCATTCTATTCATTTCTATTCTATTCTATAAGAAAGGCCAGGGGTAACCGATCTCGTAATGGCAATTGTAAAAATAAGCAACCGGCAACAGATAGCAGCATTGATGGTGGGAGATATCTGGTATATGTAACTTAAATATTTAATCCTCAACACCAACGCAGAAACAATCATTTGTTTCTGCGTGTTATTGCTATGCATTTACTTGGTTAGATAAAACAGCAAGGCTTCTTGAAAACAATAGGTGCTAGGACTCCTTCACCAGCCTTGGAGTCCGCCTGGGTAGGTAAGTACCGCCATCTAACCTTTTTAGTTGTTAGCAGAAAGATTTTGTGGCCTGATTTATGTATTTTCTCTGGCGCCTTTTGCGACACCCACGGGATAATTTGGGGTAGTGAATTCTCCTACGCTGTCTCCCTATCACTAATTGATGATGATATGATAAAAAATATTTATTTTATTAACATATTTTGATTAATATTTTTTTATTAAACAGGTTTTTAAAAGACAATACTTTACCAGGCATTATAGAAACAGTCTTCAGTGCTCTTAGTACCCTGAAGGTTCTCAATCCGGCAAGGTTGCCAACCTCCATGCCAATCGTGGCGTAACCTGATGTGATGACGACGAAGTCCAGCCAGTTCCAGGGGTTCCGCAAGTAGGTGTACTTATTGAGTATGAAACCTTTCGCAATGCATTTGATTATCATTTCCGCCGTGTATATCGCCAAAAATATGTACCTGTTGAAAATAAACATTCGTTAATATTTCAATATAATTTGCAATACCTTTTATGAGTAAAAAAATTGTAATGTCATTTTTTATATCATTTTTATAGAATGATGACAAACGAGCACACAGTCCACCTGATGGTAAGTGGATGCTATTTCCCATAGACATCTACATTTTCTCCTCGATTAAGAATCAAAATGCAGATGCGTAGCCACCCCTGAGGACTAAGATGGAATGTCTCGTTTCCAGTAAAAAGGAGCTCCGGTTCTCTTCACTAACGATACAAAACGCAGCTGTATTAAGTTGCTATTTTACGCTGGTATTCTGTGAGGGCGTGGTCCTTACCCATTCGTGCTACAACCATAATATAAGTAAGTGGTAAGTGGATGGTTGTTGTCTATGGACATCTATGCCAATATTCTATTAAGAATAAGCTCAATAGTCATAACAGTAATTTAAAAAATCCTGACCGCGTAGAAAAGATTACATAAAAAGAGAAAAAAAAATGCCCTATGTCACTTCTACAATTAATATGAATCTATCGACTCCTTACATGTTAAAATCCATCATGCCGTTTATGCTACAGAGGATGCCAAAGAAAAAGGCGTACATGTATATATGCATATACACACACTCGGTAACATTACGCTCCTTATGGTGCAATCGGGTAAAAATGCGTAATAACCCCCGATAACTAAGATGAAACGCCTTATCTTGGGTTAATTTTAACACAATTCATTTGTGTAGTAGCTACCATATACCTCAATTAGGTAGGCTTCTTTATGTCATTACATGTATTTGTTGATAATTTTAAATTCGCATAACTTCGAATTGTGTGACATCTACCTATCTGTACCTATTAGGGTGCGTACACATTATATAACATAACATGTTAACATAATAAGCTTTGTTATATAACATGTTTATGTAAGGATGAATGACATAAAACGTGTTATATAACGGGACACAAATGTTATATAACTCTAACGATAGAATGACAAACGACAATGTCATACGACAATGTCATATAACATTGTTATATTGCATTGTTATTCTAATGTGTACAGTATTGTTATATGTTGCAATGTTGAAAAACAATGTTACATAATGTGGACGTGTTATAAAACAAAAGTTACACAACATGTTACTTAATCTGTACGCACCCTTACTATTATTTCTGTCCTCATGCAGCAGTGCAGTACCGGTCTGAAAGGAGTACAGAAACAGTATAATTGTAGGTTTCCATCTTTTTTACTATTATAAGCCAGTGTTTCTCTACTTTCCCATCTGATGGTAAGTGGTGATGCAGCCGAAGATGTAAAAGCGCATCAAGATGCATCTTCGTTCTCAGAGGTGACAACGAATTTGTGGCCTTCTTTGTTTAAAGTTGGTTGTCTGAAGGTCTTAAGTAGCCGTTTATCATCAGGTTCACCAACTTTTATTTAATAGCTAGTGCTGATTGCGATGAATGTGATTTTTTTGTGATGTGCCAATGGCCATACAAAAAGGCAAGCAGTCGACACACACAAAAAAGAAAAAGTCGGAGAATGTATTATATATAATACATTAGAGGTTTATACGTGTTATACATATACTTTATTTGCTACACGAAAAAGTTTTTTTTTAAATATTTCAATGAATAGCCGCGCAAAGCTTACAATTTTATTACCTGTAAAAGCGATATGTCACACATAAATTATAAATTATAAACATATAATACACGAACATTCCATGAACATTTTTCGCTAGCGTTTTAGTCAACGTAATATTCAGGACCATTAAAGGGCTTAATGTTCCTAAAATAACGTTCGGTTCATGCTTGTATGAGTTTCTAAAAATATTTGAAGCAAGTTTGTATAATGGAAATTCTTAGTGATCAATATTTTCAGAAAACAGAATGTAAACTACATTATAAGTGTGAGTGGTAACAAGTGATATGGATGTGGCGTGAGGAAATCCACTTACATTATTCTGTGAGCGTCATGAGAGGGGACAAAGGGAAACTGAACCAGAAGATGAACAGCGGCATCTTACGTACGTACGCTGAATAAAAATAAACCTAAAAATGCGGTTGTCAAATCGCATCGCGTGGCAACTTTGGCAACTTTGGCAAATATCTATGAGGATTCAACAGTGGACTTTTGATAGATTGTAATGAATGAATGAATGACTTTTAAATTATGAATAATAGCATTTAGAATGTTTAGATAAGTTAATGAAGCAAAACCTAAAGGCAAAAGAAAATACGTCCTGCTTGTTTTTTTTTGCAAATCTAATAATAAAATGTTTTAAATCAACGTCGTCTTTTCTCACAATCACGTAAAATTTTGTCAACCCTCAGTTATTTAATTAAGCCGTCTTCTGATTGGTCGGAACGACAACGATGAGACTCCTTCGTGATTCGATTTTCCATTCACGATTCGGTGCGATGTAGCGAAGATAGCCTTCTCAATGTTCAAATTTATTAAAGCCTCACAACATCAAATTTATGCCGCGTCGTAATTTACCGTGAGACATCTGTCAGAAATTTATCATAATACGAGTAGAGATAAATTTTTGATTTCTTTAAATATTTTTTTTATATAGATTTTTTATACTATGAGATTTCTTTAGATTATAATATTATATAAATATATAAGATATAACTATATAATATTTACCTGAGTTATCATGGCCCTGCTACTGAGTTTTCATAGCTCTTATTAAATAATATTAATATATTGTAGCCATGTGAAGAAGTGAATTACCCAGTCCGGCTACGGTAAGCTGCGTTAAAGATCTCATCGTTATTCGTCATCAGCGTCATTTGCATTACGATCGACATTCGGCCTGATATACGTGTTGATTATGGAAAATTGTTCACGCACCGGAAAAACTCCAAGTCCACCAGTGTGTACAGGTTTAACAGGAAGCAGGGAAGAGGGCAAAGATAAATTTCATACAACGTTTCTAGTTCTGCTAGTTGATGATGACGGGGTATCTCTTATGATTGAACCCGTGTTCGGTCATATCATAGAGATCTCGCATGTTTGACATTTTCTTCTCCAGTCTTTTTGAGTTTACTGTCAGACATTAATTACTCCAAGAATGTGCCAATAGGCATGTATTTCTTTAAAGCGTTGCTTATACTCATCATTGGACTGCCTCGATGGTCTAGTAGAGAGTCTAGTAGACCCGGGTTGGACTAAACTCAGTTATTAGGTTTTTCTGTTAAAATATTTCCTTCTGGCAGCCCGGAGTCAGGAAGTTGGCGGTGTTACATCCTCGTGCTTTGGAAAACACGTAAAACCGTTGGTCCTGCACCTGATTTCTCTCCGGTCGTGTCTGATTACGGTCCCATTGGAATATGAGAGTGAGTGAATAGAAAGTGCACGAATGTTCGCGTACACACTCGGATAATAAAATTCTGTCCTGCGCAGATGGCTAGTCTCTGTTGAGACTGGCCGCCATGAGAGAAATTTGCTCTGAAGGACATTATACTCATCACACTGAAGAGCATGATGACGTGGGTGTACCGAAAGCCGATATCCTCGCAGTGGTCATGCTTCTCTCTATCTGTTATTTGGTGATATTTTGTTTCGGCATATTTGAATGGTTCACCGATATCAGCCAGTCTTCAGAGCATAACTAGTCCGTTTACCAGCACGGAGAGGACTGTGACGATGTTGACATTTGGAGCATAAGTTCTTATATTCCGCCCCCTTCCCTACACGCCTTTTATAATGGGAAAATCTATATGAGCCAAGTGCGTTATTGGCGTATAAATTTTTAATTAGCTTTTATGAAATATCTTTAAGTAGGTCACTGAATTCAATTGTGTTACGGCTGCCGGTATGTCAGCATAATAGCGTCATTCATTCCAATCACTGCTTGTTGAGTATTCTTCGATATTTTACCATAGTGAAATTATGAATTTCAAAATTGTAATATTAATTTAAAATTTTAATGTCTAAACTTTTCAAATTAAAAAATGAGATTACTTGCAGCACTTATTACTTTATTTCATTTTTGGAATTCACTTTTAGAAAATAAATTTCTTATACCACATTTGTTATACAATCTTGTTTTTATTTTGTGCACTCTATTATATTCTACAGTGCCGTGGGGCCTCCGCTGTTTTTCATATATGTACGTAAATAAATTTGTAAAAATTACACATCGACGACAACCTGAACCATTATTACGCGTAACATAAAATACCGGCCAAGTGCGAGTCGGACTCGCGCATGAAGGGTCCCCTTAATTTTTAATTTATTTTTATTTTCATTATTTGTTATTGTAGCGGCAACATAAATACACATTCTGAGAAAATTTGCACTGTCTACTGATAGACATACGGACGGACGGACGGACGGGCAGACGGACGGACAGCGGAGGCTTAGTAACAGGGTCCCGTTAGTTACCCTTCGGGTACGGAACCCTAAAAACTAGATTGTTTAACAAAAATTAAACTTCTTTTTTCAATTCAAATCTTTCATTTCTGTTCGGATTTGTGGGCTATACAAATAGCTGAACTAAAATCCGCGGCCCGCAGCGCCTTCGCTTAAGGCCAAGTTGGACAAAATATTGTATTTTAGAAACGATTAATGAAAATATTCTTGAAATAGTTCTTTGAATTAACACAAACAAAGTATTTTGTTTAACACTTCATATCACAGTTGTTGCTATATCTATTCAAGAGCATCCCACGCCACGTGCAAGTGAACCGTTAATTTTACGACCGTATACACCTATTACCGTATATACGTTACAGCGTATAAAGTCCACTGCTGAACATAGGCCTCCGCCATGGATTGCCTCATTGCTGGGATTTTACCTTAGTTGCCATGCCTGGCAGGCGAGTTTGCAACCGCAGTTTAGTTATTTTATTCAGCTGTTATCAGGAAGATGCTGCTGCCCATCTCCTGTTTTAGTTTCCCTCTGCCGCCTCTTACGACAACCACGGGACGATATGGGGTAGTAAGTATTCTTACACCATAATAGATAAATCGAATATTTTTCATGCAGAT